ACCTGAGTGTTATTGGTAGTTCATTCCACAGCTGGCTATATCTGACTAGGAAGAAATTAGAGCAGACGTTCGTTCTGGCCTTCGGTATATTCAGTGTTAAGTCTTTGTTGCGAAGCGCTCGAGTTAAGCAATGTTGAAAACTGAGTGTAGGCAGATTGGAATAGGTCCTTTTGTGTAACATGTTGAAAAGCAGCAACAAGTTGTGCTTCAATCCTCGAAGCCAAAGTGATTCGAGATGAAGTTCATTGCAACGTTCTCGATAACTCATAGCAGAGTGTTTACCAATCAGATGTTTAGTAAATGACCTCTGCAGATGCTCCACAGCAATTCTGCCACTCTTTCTCATATTGCCACATATTATGCTGCAGTATTCGAGAATGAGGCGAGTGAGTAGCTTGAGAAGCCCAAATTTAGCACCAGTTGTGTGTATTTTGTTTGATATATTGAACATTAACTGTCTGGCACGTACTACTTTGTATTGGGCCTGTTCGGAGAAATTGAAGGTAGACGAGTACCTAATTCCAAGATCTCGCGTGGATAACTGTGTAGGGACGCGTTCATTGTTTAGGGTGATAGATCCTCCGGAGATGCAGCAGCCGTAAGACACGATGCTTGATTTCTTAGCCGAGAGGTTCAACACCCATGTGCAGCACCATGACTCAAGGGAATGTAAATCATCTTGAATGAGCAGTAATGTCTTGTGAAGCTCGTCACGCCGAAGCTTATAGACGATTTTGATATCGTCAGCAAATAAAAATTAAGTACTATGTTTTACAGATGTGGTGTTGTCACTGATGTAGAGCAAAAGGAGTGAGGAACCGAGCACGCTCCCTTGAATGACTCCAGTGGTGATTGAGCGTGTGGAGGAGAAATAATTACCTAAAGTGACTAACTGATGACGATAGCCAACCTACTAATGGGTCCCGGATCCCAAATTTCTCCAACTTTTGTAACAGTCACTTGTGCGGTACTCGGTCGAACGCTTGGTGTAGGTCAAGAAACAAGATTACTACTGCATAGCCGGAATCGATTGATTCTGAAATGTGATTAAGGTAATGCGGTTGACAGGTGCTGCATGATCATTTATTGCTGCGAATTGTTGATCAGGCCAACAGAATCAACAAAGTTCATCATCTCCATTCTCACCAGCTTCTCAAATAGTCGAGCGATTGTCGGAGTGTGGTGGATTTGTCGGTAGTTATCAATCGTTTGTTTTGGACCTCCTTTATGCCGAGGCATAACAAATGACGTTCTCCATTGGTCTGGAAAGTGGCCAGATTCCAGCGATAGAGTGAACATGCTCATCAGGAGCAATGGTATATCAGGCTCTCCTAGTTTAATGGCAGTTGGTGAAATGTCATCAGATCCCAGCTTGAAAGATGGCCTGATTAATTTGATAAGTTGATGGATAACGTTGACCAAGATATCGACTCTACTTAAGAGGTTTGTTTCGGTGAGCTCTGTGTACACAGGCACCGGGTCAGCTTCGCGACTCATGGTAGTGGTAAACAGTCGCTGAATGCTTCAGCTAGGTCATGGAGTAAGTGACACTCACCATCAACAATTTCGGTAATCAGAGGAGAGCCGTCACTGGTACTACGACGCAGTGGTTTGAAAAGCTCCTTAGCTTTGCCGCTTGTCCGTAGGGCAGTATGTTTTTCCTTTTTTCGTCGTATTAATTGCGCGTATTTGACTCGGGTGATAGATTCATGCATTTGTAAGACAAGTAAAAAGTCATGGGTCCTTCCGTACTTTTGCGAAAAAGAATAATGGTGAGCGTTTAACAGTATGTTATCGCTGTCTGCTGACAAGTTCGTAGGCCTATAGATAATTGCTAAGAGGCAGGCATCACACGTCTTCTTCCGTGATCCACCATCTCGACCTGCTACCCGAAATCCGCAAAATAATGCGTCAGGAATGAGAAGGGAATGTTCTGGAAGGGCCTCAGATTTCTGCCAATCTCGACAGCATATAGTAACACCGCTCGCTTGAGATGGAAGATCATTCCGAGCGACCGATATTTCACTGAGTTCCATCTCCAGATCAAGTATGTCGTTTGAAAGCCAAGTTTCAGTAAATGCTATGAGGTCCTAAGTTGCTGCTTCATATCGATGACACAGTTCCGGAAGATTAGAATACAACCACTGAGCGTTGATGTAGCAGCATTATATTTGTTGACGTGTTGGGAGCTCGCTTCGCTGTGAGTGACCGGCATACATAGTGACGGTCTGCTGACGTCTTTTGAAACGTGTGTTTTACTGTTGACTGGTCTGAGGTAGGAGCAACCGAGATTGGCTCATCTGTAACTGGAATTTGTACTGCTTGAAGGAATGGTCTTAGGCGTACCTCTGGAGGCCCAAGTTTCCTGTTGTCATGCCAAGCTTGGATTGCCATTGTTACCATCTCGGGCGTAGCCAAGGTAACTGTCAAAATTCCTGGCCCGTTGCTGTGGTTGTTTGGGGAGGGAACTAGAAGGGTGAGGTCAAATGTTACGATATTTTGCATGCTGTAGAGCTTTGTGGTACACTTACATACTTCAATGTCGTGCTTTTGTCGTACACTGCTATCGTCCTGCTTCATTTCTGGTACACCCTGAACCAGTACCAGCTTCTTCATCACATTTTAACGTGAGGCGGTCGGGTCGAATTTCCACTTTTTCTGCCCATGACTTGTCTGGAAAAATGCGGGCACTGACAAAAGTGGCTTGCTAAGAGAACAGCTACCAGATCCCATGTGTTGCCAAATATTACTCGTAGCAACCGAGGTTCCCCTACGTGCGGAGATGATGGATTACGTGAAAGGAGAGTAGGACTAGTTGGGAGAACTTTCAGTCCGAGTGCACCGTTTATCTCAGCCCAGCAGTTTTGCTCCTCGGTTTGTCTACTTTATAACGATTCACAGGTTGGTTTTGGGACGCTTGGACATATCACTGTCAACGCCATTTGTTTACGTATTAACTGGTTTTCCTGCGGTTCTTGTGTGCGGATATTTGTCGTGTGGGAGTGTTTGACTTGTCTTCCGTGAAACAGAGACCAATGCTACAACAAGACTGTTTACATGCAACGCTGTTATTTGCAATAACTCTTGGGGTCAACTGTTGTTGTCCAGCTAAAAACCGAGGTGATTGTGCAGTTTGTGCATAACCCTGCATGACTTGCAATATTTTGTGGGACTTGGGTGGCCGTTCAACCGGTCTGTCTTCATTGGTGTTTGTCACCAATAGTATTCGTTTATCGCTGAACTCTGTAGCATTTTTGCCAGTTTTGGTCCTTTAACAGTTCTGGGATTTGGGCTACTTAATGCACTAAGTTGCAACTCGGGTTCAGAGATTTTCTCTCCCAAGTTTGCAACCAGTTCCTTTTGCTCTGCTGACGTTAAAGCTAACGTTTCACACCTTACCGTAAGCGTTTGAACTATCCTATCTACGGGATTATCTGAACATGCGTCGCAGAACCACAAAGTATTTGTCGGTACGATGCTCCTTCCGTTAGATTTTAAGTCCATGTTTGTTGCGTCGTAGAAATTGGCACAGAACGAGTACGTGATTTCTGAGATGACCTCTGTTGCAAGCTTGCCTGACCTACGATTGACCTTGGGTTTGTTATTCTCTGTAAACGTGAGACGACAAAACAGCCTGTAGCTAAGGTATGCCGTGATGCATAGTACTATTATAGCGTAACTGGTAGCCTTAAAGGAGCTGTGTCGAACGATATCACAAAAGCACTGATGAAACTCAAAATGGCAAGGTTTCACGTGTTAGTCTTGGTGAATAGATTACCGAAGATGTCGTTTGTGGCGTAGTAGAGTCTCGTTAAATTTCGAAGAAAAGTAGACCTCGTTGGATGGAGCTCGGTGGTCCGAGTCAATTGAGCGTAATTTCGAGGATGTGGCGTAAAATTGTGTGTGGGGGGGGGATAAGTCCAAGTAAACACAGTGTAGCCAGGGATGCGGTACTGACACTCAAATAGGTTTCGGGGTGATCATAGGTGAATCGAATTGGCGGTGGAACATTTCCATTTGACTGTTTTGAGCGACAATTCTAATGTTTAGTTCCTTATTCATATTACTGAAGATATGTACGAGCTCACTCAGTGACTGAAGTGGACCAGTGCAAATTTCATTTTCGATAAAAAGAATGTGGGAGTGAAATTTTGGGGTTTCTGGCAGCGCAGAAGTTACGTGTGTATTGAACACCGTGATTTGTAGTAATCTGCCTTATTGCACATTATTGTAAGCAACAGTCTCTATAGGCCGAGAAAATGGTGATTCGCGGTGGCAACCTAGTGTTTTACACACCAACATCCACCATTATTCAGGGCATGTAGACTTTTAGTGACAACTCTAATGGTTCTATCGGCAAACATTGGAGTGCAGTGGGCTTCAAGATATAGGTTGTCAATCTCAGTTGATGCGTGAAAAAAACACTGGGAAGGATCATGCCGTTACAGGACTATTTGGGTTATCTATACCCGAAAAGGTCAGACAAGGATGAAACCGTTTAGGCTATGCAATATAGAGACCGCTTAGCTACAGGGCTAACTGCCATCACTCTGCAGAGGACACACTGTGGCAACTGAATGCACATGAAGCGTTCTGTGGCAGTGAATTATTACCTTCAAAACTGCCAGATACCTGAATGAACAGCCGGGAACCAATACAAAATCTGTCCAAAATTTTGGGTACCTTGCACGCCCGTAAACACGACACATGACGCTGGGGGCCCAGTCGGAAGTTTATAAAACTGTGCAAGGACATATTAATTGATCCAGTGTCAGGAAAAGAAGTGCTTAACATTAACTCCCCTGTCAGGGAAGATGAAAAAGATGACGGATAAGAACTGCACTATGGCTTCCAAATAGAATACCCAAATCTGTCGAACCTTAACTTTGTCCAGGGAGAAAGGAGATTCGAAATCTATAACCCCTCACAAATGGTAGTTTTGCAAGAGCTGCAACGAGATTAGCGATTATAACCAAGAAGACCGGTGCGCCGCGACTCACCATGCGGTTGCATATCGTATGTGAAAGTCTCACAAAGGACCAATTTGTTCTTTCCTCCTCGGAAAGGGTCGCGGAATAAGGCACAAGGCTTCAGGTAAACGTCAGAGTTGGAGCCTTCAGCCTGTCCCGTACTGCTTCCGTCAAAATTCCAGATTCGGCAGTCTGAAGAGTAAAAATCGCAAAGACCAGATTGATACAGCATTGATAAATATAGCCTTTCACTTGCAGCAAGCAGCTAGCCACGTCAACCGAAGTACAACAATCTAGACAAGTAAAAGAACTGATTTCGGTTTTTTCATTCGAATATGCAAACCTGGGTGATCCAAAGTGTTCCAAAACCGGTTTTCATACAGCTGCGGGTCGCGTATTCCGGACGTGTCGCATTCGCTTCATGCAGTACATGTTCATGGTTAACGAACTGTTGAATAAGACTAAAAGGCAGTTTTAAAGGCAACAGCCATTGTTGTGACGGGGAATTGGAGAAATCCAGAGAAAACAGTTCGTGAGAACAGTTCGTGTAAAATTGTATCCTCATATTTTGTCATCGTCCGCACTGAAATCAGCTACAACCAGTGGAGGCGTACTTGTGTTAAAAACCTAAACTCCGGTGAGAGCACAAGATGAGAACCTGCCGAAGAAATGAAATGAAAAAATGAAATGTGTCAGCTTATACGCCGTAACGGCGCTTCGTTGCCGCGCTACCACCACCAGTCGCGCGCGGGCTGAGTATACCGCGAGGACGCCCACCCCTACGCGGATTCGAACCGGTGACCTTATGGTTGGAAAGCAAACGTGCCGACCACTCGGCCACCGGCCGACAAAGGATTGGTCAGCTGTACGCCTCGCGACCACCACCAGTCGCGCGCGATGGGTATACCGTGAGGATGCCCGCTGCTACGCGGATTCGAACTGGTGACGTTGCGGTTGCAAACCAAGCGTGTAGACCACTCAGCCGACGGCCGAAGGGAAGGTACTCAATGACTGATGAGGGCCTGGGATAAAGAAAAGCCGTAGCCACTTACTCAAAATAACTACACCGGTATTCCCCGCATGTAGAGGGAAATAGGGGTTCTGTTCACTCAAAGCTTTGCTCGCCAAAATCACACACATTTTGTTATTGTTCGAGTTACCCGTTGCTAATTTGGCTACAAACCACGATGGAAGTAAGAAAGCACTTGATTTCCATTTAGAGACTAGCATCAATGTGGTTCAGAGACTCAATTTCGACGTATGTTAGTATAGCGGTACAAATGATCCACCGAATCTCACTGCTTTCGTAACACACCCGAAACGCAAGGCCATTAAGAAGGAAGACATGAAGTTGCAGAGTATCACAAATTCCGCATGCAGTCAGACATCGGGATGAGTCACTCTATGCTTGTCATTTAGTTGATGCGATATAATAGCAGTATGACGGGTATCTGGCGGACAATTAGATTTGCGTGCGTGCACGTGACTGTGCTCGCAATGAAACAAGAGCGTTAAACGCAACTGTCCGTGGTAGTCGATTTTCGCACCAGAAGAAAACCATGAGAAAGTTACGATCGATATGTTGGCACTGTCTTAACGAAGACTAGTAGCCAACTACGGCGGCATTATGCATCCTTGCAGAAACACTGATATCAATCCTTAGTACGTGACCAGATTACCAGTTGTCACAACTGTATTATCATGCTTAAAGGAATTAGATATCAGTGAATCCTCTGTTCGTTTGGCAAGGTATCAAAGCAGCAGCATCTTAACCATGGATAATATGCAATCATATCTGTTATTCATATATATGGACGTGAAGTGCGCAGGGGCAAAGTATATGTAGTGTGGCCTTTCACTCACCTTGCTGACACAAACAGGCTAGTCAGATTCACTCCCGCTTGTTTACAGTGCTCAACGTGTGTAATGTTGAAGACTGCAGAACTTTTCTCAACTTCACATGTATGAGTGACGAGTCCGAGTGATCGATGCTGCCGACGTTAGGCTGTTTCCCGATATAGGTGTTGTGTTTGCAAAGGTTCGACTACCAGGCCCATAACTCCATTGACTTGGGGCAAGTTGCTGATCATCTCGGAAGATCACAACATCACAACATCACACAACATCCACACATATCCCTAGTCGCGATGTGACAAGTAAGCGGTTGTGTTATGTAGCAAAACGAACTATGGACCAGGTGGAACCATATTATTGACGTTTCAAAGCTAATTTCATATGGTTTGTAAGCGATTTGAGTACATTTTCTCAGCAATTAACAAAGTTATAGGATCAACAAACAGACATCTTCGATTAGCAAAAAGCTAACAGACTAGGTCTGGTTGGTGCCACAGTTAACCCGTTCGATGAAGTGGCAGATTAGTCTTGTGGCAAATAACGTCACCACAAGAGGCGAAGAGGTAAACTCATGCCACAAGTCAAACAGTCGCTACATCATCCTGTATCCGAGTGAGAGGAAATAAAGCCCATCTCAGCGCAGTTTTTGTAACAGAACCTTAGTCTCAACGAGGTCCTATATGGCTTAGGTGTCTGTCTTTTACGAGCAATATTGTGCAACTTACGTAGCCTAGCATTAACTAAGTTCACAGTAGGCGCCAGCGCATACAACTACTAAGGCACTTACAGATCCCACTCTATATACAGCAGTCGCGTTGGTAGCCTAAACTCAAAGACAGAACCGATGCTCCTTTGTACTTAAACGTGAACATGTAGTGTTCGCCTATTCTATACGAACGCGGGGCACCAACTTGTTTGCTAAAACAAACCTAATGAGACGTTAGCAATATACCCACTCAGATGTGAAGCTCATAAACTAATAAGACCACTACCATATTCAAATGGTCACAGTTAACGAACTCTGTGTTGCTTGTCTCTTACCGTTCCATCGTTTGAACGCTGCAGTGGTTAGCCGAAACAGCGCAGTTTACTACACCTGTTCAATCCCATGAAATGCACATCAATCAGCGTGAAGAATTAAGCCGGTAAAGGTACCCACCGATGCCTCTACTGCTCATCAATATACGGACTGGTTACTCGACTTGTATTGTACCAATCGCGACCTGGTATGCAAAACTCACCTTCAGCTGAAACAGGCTCCTTGTTCACAGTCATGGTTTTGCAGCGCAAATTTTCCCCGGTTCCATCGATCCAAACATACATGAGCTGAATCTTATCCTGCGGTTGAGGCAAACTATAATATTTCGCCAGTAGTGTCTTGCTGTCGGCAGGACTCTTTGTGGCCAAAGCCATGGCACAGTAACAGTGATTTAGTGGACGATCATGGTAACACTTTATACCGCGAATTCACAGTGGTCATACGTCCCATTTACTTTTCAAGTAATCCTATTTGACGAATCGCTGAAGGCCACTAGCGGTAAACGCTATTGGTTGAAGTTGTATAAAAGTGACAAGGTCATTCTTTCTGACGATCACGCGGCAAGGGGCTGACTGTGCGACATATTTTCTGTTCTGGGCGCATCGTTAGCTGCAGTAGCAGGTATGGTCCCTTTGAGACAGTGCGCATTCATAAATCGAGCCTTTGTTGGGTATAAAAATTACGCTTTCCTTCCATTGTGAAATACAGCGGCCAGAGCTGAGCCAACTACTCACTGCGTTCTACTAATTTATGTCGTAGCAAATGTGTCGGATCGACGCATATGTTCGGTTGCCAATTCCCAATCCTACGAGTGTAGTCACTGGCTACTAACAGGAAACATAGGTAAGAATTTTCACTGAACTCCTGTCACAAGTGCACTAAGTCCCTTGAGCTGAGGTTGCGTGATCTAGTAGTACCTGCGCGTATCCAATAAGCTCCTGCTTGGCATTCCGTCAATCCTTGGTGGTGAAATCTGGAAGACCTACCGAGGTGTTCGCACACATGTTAGGATGACGCAAGATATTGCCACCTTAAGCTCGCTGCGCATGTGGAGATTGGTTTACTGATCACAAATAAGAAAATGATCGCTGGGTAACGAAGATCCTACACTTCATCTATCTCCACAAGTCATCAGTAAGACTAGTTAGCTATGTTGGTCTAATGTGCGAAAAAAGGGTTGCCATGAAGATTTTCACAAACATGCAGCCAATCAACTGAAATGCTACACTTCAGCAAGATTTTGCGGTACAGCCATCATTATGCTGCACTGAAAATTCAGGTGGACGTTCTCATGCATTTCCAGCTGTCACTGAAGTTGTGAAAATATCCTCTAAATCCTTGTGTCGTATCAAGGCGCTATGCAGAAAGTCCTAGCGCGTGAGGACAAGTGATGTACCCTGCACAGTTCGTAACTGGCAGGGTAATAGAAGATGACCCCTAGTATATCATAGTCAACTGTCAATCATGCAGGTCCGCGGCTGTCACCCACGGCGAAGTGACACTAGCTACTGGCATCCGGAAGTCATGGGGGCGGAACTCGGCAGGGGTTTGCTGGAAGACACATCACTGACGAGACCCAGAAAATCGAAATACCCGTGTCTGGTGCTTTTCCAGACTAGCCAAAGCCTGCTGTCTGAGAGCCGACCGTAATGAAATATCTTTAATAAAATTAAGTGTTTTGGTGAGCTCACCATAGTGCCTACTCAGAGGCACGCATGAATTTTCTCACCTCGATAGTATAAGTTAACATTGGTTGTGCAACCTTTGTTACATTATATCATCTGTCTAGGTACGCAAGATATACCTCATAATATGACTGGGTTATTCTAATGTCATGGCGTTTTAAACACGGACAAAGTGGAGGGGCGGGAGCAACGTAAGTTCGGAGGGCGTACCGTGGCTAGCACACACGAAGACAGTAAACATTTTACCGGCGCGTTAGCCAGCTGTATTGTGTGGTCAGTTTTGACTCGTTTCCCTTCAAATCCATGTGTGACTGAGTTACAGTAGGCGCGGAAGACGTGGCAGCCGTACGTCAGAATCTGGTAGCCCATTACTAGGTCGTCACGCACATGCCAATACTGACCGCTGTACAATCTTAGGGTCCTGGGTCTATGTTGATATGGAAGGTGAAACAACCCTTTGACGTGCCTGGTGGCTCTTCCCTGTGGAGTCTCGAAAGATGCGTGATCTTTCCTGTGCGAGTGCTGTCAGGCATGGATAGCGCGTTCCACGTGATGACAAACGTATATGTTAGGACAGTGGAACAATGGATTAATATGGGTAAAAAAGAAAGCTAATCCTTAACAAGCCCCATAGGACAGTCAAGTTAAATAATGGAATATATGGCGAATTGTCAGTAAAAGTATGTTCACACAGTGCATCGAAATTGAGGTATAACAACTGCAAATCCACTGTACGTCCATAACCAATGATGAGCAATGCGATGTTTGCATATATCGTGCTGCCTCCTGTTAAGCACATACGGGAGATGAAAAGGTTGGAATGTATTCTGGGGGCTGACCAGCAGTGAACTCTCTGACAGACCCTCGCGTTTAACCGTGAGCAATGAGTCATGTGAGACGGTGCAAAGAAATGATTTCAAGGTCATATCGAGCCTTGAACGCCATAAGCGTGGGCGCACAGATGAGAGATTCCGGTATGGCGTTGCACGATTGGTAAACCCGCAAGGTAAACAAATTCCGACTGCGTTCCAAACGACTGTACTGCTCCGCCAGTTTAATATGGTGGGCTCTCAGATTGTTGCTGTGACTGAGCTCTAGCAAATAGTTGCACGTGTGGGTGGGATGTGCCAAACTAATGTCCCTATGCAATCGCTGGTATCGTCCGCAAGAGACCCGCAGCACTCGAAAGCTTTATTCATTCGGCACATGATACAAACCTGAGATTTTTGGTTGCCCGGTGTTGGGGTATCGCGAAAGCGGTGAGCTCCGTCCTCAGCCATGGTTGGCAAACCTATAGTACCACATGTGAACTTATTTATGTGCCGAGAAGCTGCTGAAAAATCGACGGGCCGAATCGTCCACATACGCGCTACAGGGAACCCACGTGTCGGATGCCCATTCTTGACGACTTTTCAGCCTCACTGGAAAACCCTAGGTTGGCCTGAATCAAAAGGCCCATATACATGTCGCCAAAAGATGTTTAAAGCTCCTGGTTATTTAGTTTGTGGGAGCACATCAGCTGGTGTTGCAAGTGCAGCAGCCGAGAATTTTCCACAATTAACGAAAGTAGATTCTGGAGTAACCACCGTTAGCTTCGCGGAGATCTTAATCTCCCCTACCGGATACTAACTGAAAGCGGGCATCCATGTACATCATAGTTGACTCTATCCCCTTACAAACAAAACCGAGGCAACCACCTGAAACTAACGACGCAACACTCTCGTTTGCATTGTAGAAAGTATTCTTATTCACTTAGAATCTGTTCTCACTGGTGAAGGCACCAGACATGACGACATTCGAAAGACTCTTAGACTTTCATCTTAGTGATAAAAGCTACACAACAGTTTGATAAAGTGTAATGATTTAACCACTGACACTTCACCTTCCACCTTGGAACCTTTTGATTTTAGTTTTCTTTTGTATATCAATCCTATGGGTCTTGTAAAGTTATGCTTTTTATCACATCATACACTACTGAACTATTAAATCCTATTCAGAACCACATCGAAGCTTTCCTACGCTCCTCTACGTGTCACACGCTAGTTAACAACGATTTGTGACAAAACGTCTGCAACATTGTTGCCCAGCTCAGCGAATAGTTCGAAGTTTAGTATTTTGATTTCAACTGATGTATTAATCGCCCTCCACACCATGCTGTCATCGGCATAGAGCAGACAGTTTGAGCTTATGAAGCGTGTATTATGTCGTTTATATCCGTCTACAACCATCGTGGCCCCAATATCGATCTCTGTGGTACTCCGCACAAGACTTAGATGGAATATGGTAGGAATTCACGCACTCATTCCTACAAATGTCGGTGAAGACGCTTTCTGATTCATCTTAAGAGAGGATCACCTACCGTCTGGATTTTGGAGAGTAGAATTCCATAGTCACGTCTGTCGAATGTCTTTGAGAATTGGAGAAAACAACATCAACTCATGTGTCAGTATCTACTGCTTCGGTCCAGCTGGATCCTGCTAACAGTGGTGCATGATTGATCTCATCCGAAGCCACGCTGCTGTGAGGCAGAGTACGCGAATTTTTAAGAGTTTCATTGGTTCTCATAACTGAGTAATTTAATGGCAAACGTTCCACCACTTCGCGCGTTGGCATCTTCATTGCACGGCTTCGCAGTGGATATTCTCACGCAAAGAGTAGTCTGGACGTACTGTACGTCCGGACGACGTGAGCGAAGTGGTGCAACCTTAGTCATTAAATTCCTCAGCTCGGAGAACCAATCATAACGTTAAATACCAACCCGTGCTACAGGTATTTTGAACCATTGTACGTACATTATTCTAACTAGGCCGTCAACGCATCAACAATAATGGCTTCCGTGACCTTTGATAGCACTGGCAGGAGGGCTGCAGGACAGTAGTTGGCTGGATCGTAACGACTGCTTTTTTGTGAAATGGAGTGACCATCCCGTGTGTTCACATAAATAACTAAATAAATAAATAAACAACAGTTTATTTCTCGACGGTGCAAGACACAGGCCAACTGAGCAGTCTGATTAATCTGCCCAACGAGCTCGCATAAAATATTTGCTTGCTCATGTTTTGTATAAGAAATCCCAGATTGGTTTTCGAAGTGAATGGCAGTTTGAAAGTAGCAGAGAGATTAAGAAACTGGGAACAATAACAGATGCAGATTTAGCTGAAAGTTCAAGTAGTACTACGGCCATTCATTGAACCGTCCCCAGTGGACCTTCTTCCATGCGGGGTATTCCCTTGATGGATTTTCCCCGAACTTCCATGCTCTAACTGGCTGTGGGCCGGTGTGGTAAACTAGCAGACAAGTCATCACATGTTTAACAAAGGTTTACTTTATATAAGGGCTGTTTTATACATGCATTATTGGTGATGAAGACTCAGCCCGTTCCGACATGAGGATCACTCAAGTGTGGCGCTATTTTGCTAATTGCGTGTGAGTCAGTGGCAGTATGTCATTCATGGGTATAACATTTTATCTTTGAAGCTGTAGTTCGTCATCACAAGAGATTAACGCGCTCGTGGACAACCACGAAATAAGGGAACATAGAAAGTATGATGAATTAAAAGGTATAATACTAATCACTATCTTTTGCAGGTAGGTCAGTCCTAAGTTCACGGGAAGTCGGTGAATAACGACGATGGTACAGCAATTCCGAGAGCAAAAATTGCTACATTCCGGACAGGATTTTGTAAAGTGAAATGATCAGTAAAGATAGTCTAGATGCAGTTAATTGTCTCTGCCGTTGTGGTTGCTTTA